TGTTCTCGGCAGAGGCCCAATTAGAAGGACGTTATGCCGCTTATCACGAATGGTCAGAAAGAAAGCCTCAAAGTGGTTCATGGCACGCACTACGCGTGAAACTTTTCAGATTTTTGAAGCTCGGCACCCCAAAACTGCCATTATCCTGTCAAAGTTTTACAGCTGACGTTCGAAATTTCTGCTGCTCGCATAGCAACATGATGTTCGCGTATGCGTTATTGCGCGAATGGTTGCATCTCTGCATTCGAGAATGCATCTGGTAAGGAAGTGCCACTGAAAGGCGTAGAAGAAAGGTATCTTTACGGATCCCAAACAGCAGAGTGTATGTTGAGACAGTGCTAGCGCTGCCCATGAATTGAAAGACTTACTCTCACTAATCTCAGAATGCTTGACAAGGACGAAATAATATTTGCTGCGTGGGAAAATGGCGAATTGACAAAAAAGACGTTGTCTTCAACCATTTTTCTGAAAGAGCTACTCAAATGAGTGGCCAAACGATGCCCCGTGATTACATACGCAGCACTCAAGCAGTGGCTATTCATGAAGCATCATTGTGTTGACAGCGTAAAATAATTGTCGTGAATGGCTGACAAAACGGCGGAAATATGAGCAGAGCCACAGAAAGCTGCAGACTTTTTCGAAATATCTCTGTATGGTTGTGTGTGTAAACTGAGGAACGATTCAGCTCAACCCCCCCTCCCAAAAAAAAAAGTAAATGAAGATTTGTAAACAAAACATTTCGGAACCGATTTGGTACTTCCTCAGGGGGACTGGGGCTACGTTACAGGCGCGTCTTCAAACCACTCCCGGGGCGGTTATTGCCCCCCCCCTCTCTCCCATTTTGATGTGGAGCGTAGTCCCTGTGTATACACCGGGAGAAGGGTCCGCGGTGAGAACGATTGATGTTTTGGGCCGTTCGCTGTATATGCAATGACTCGAGTAGTAACCTTCTCTTCCAGTTAGTCTCGCTTTCAAGGATGGTCGCTGCGTCAAAATTCATCCAGTGGTCAAACGCCTCAAAATGCTCGGTGAATGCACTGCGCTCTTTGTAGAGCTTCCGGACGCCATCGGCGCAGATTCCTGCATCTTAAGTTTGCGAAAAAGTGGACTGTCCTGCTCTCAAACGAAGCGCAGCCATTGGCATAAAAACAAAATCTGAATTTTCACTTGTGTAGCCAGGACAAGAAAAGCCACACGCAGTCTTGGTGTATTTAGCGACGATATGCATTGCGACACACCGCACGCCTTTTACATCCAAGTTTGAGTACACAAGAGAGGAGAGAGAAATAAGCGGTTGGACAGGGAGGTTAGCCAGTCCTTGGAACAGCTGGCTCCCCTGTGCTTGGAAAAGGCGTGAAGAGAAATAAAAATGATAGAAAAGAGATGTTACAAAGAGAGAGAGAGAGAGAGAGAAAGATATTGTAACGGAGAGTATTTATTATGTTAATGCCGCTTGGGCTATCACTGCACGCAGCGTGCAAGGATGCAGGACAACCGGGCAGTTCACACACAGCCCTACAATAACCTTGTCATCTTCACTACTTCTGTATTATTTCGGCGCCCGTGCCTGAGGTACCTTTCTATACCCGAGACATTACCGCGGGCGGCAAAGCGCCGTCCCAATGCTTGCTGTTATTAGAAAGGTATGTCACTGTAATAGGGCTTCAGGTCAGGAACATGCCCAATGTCAGTTCTAGATCGCAGGCTCGTTGTAGGAAATTTTCATAGGTGACAGGTCTCACCTGGCGCAGAACTCAACAAGACCCAATGTTTAGTGATAAAAGACTCTCGCAGAGGCCGGAACAACAAGCTGAGAGCCACAGTAGCACGAGACAGGCCAGAGGAAAATCGACATTCCTATGGCGACGGTTGTAGATCGACTTTTGTGCTCTCTGGGACGATAAGAACCTGGCAGGGGCTACGGTTCGTGCGCTGAGAGATGAAATCTTGCGCGTACGAGGTGCTGGACGGAGGGTCATGGGCAAGCAGCGTATCAATATTTAGTAAGGGATCACGGCGAAAAAGAAGATAAATTGGTGTGTAGCCAGCTGTTTCATGACGCGACGAGCTGTAGGCGAAGGTTGCGAACGAGAGGGCACTGTCCATATCAGTGTGGTCGTCAAAAACGTACACTACAAGCACGTCTGTCGGTGTGCGGTTGAGGCATTCAGCAAGTTCGTTAGTATGTTGATGGTAAAAATCCCTGAAATTGTGCCGCGTAGCAAAAGATCTAAGGAGAATCTAAGGAAATAAGTGGGTGAAAATAGAAGAACTAAATAGAAGAAAGAAGATGCGAAAACAATTGGGTTGTTTACTAACGTTAACAGTACGAAGGACGGACACTGCACTCAAAGCTTGTCTTATCGATGATTGATTGATATGTGGGGTTTAACGTCCCAAAACCACCATATGGTTATGAGAGACGCCGTAGTGGAGGGGTCCGGAAATTTCGACCACCTCGGGTTCTTTAACGTGCACCCAAATCTGAGCACACTAGCCTACAACATTTCCGCCTCCATCGGAAATGCAGCCGCCAATGCCGGGATTTGAACCCGTGCCCTGCGGGTCAGCAGCCGAGTACCTTAGCCACTAGACCACCGCGGCGGGGCTGTCTTATTGATGCCCTTATGATAGGAAGACGTTACGAACATATTACAAACGCAGAACTTAGTTTAACAGAATGAGCGATAATTTGCTTGGTTTTATTACTAATGCACAGTTTGTGGTAATAGATGTTCAAATAAACACGTGAAAATAGAAAGCGTACTCGACTCTATTTATGAGAACATTTATTTATGCCGACAACGCATGAATAATAGTACCAGGTTGCACTCTTTTGTAAAACTGTTCTATGTAGTCTGTACTTGGTAGCGTCTCCCATGCGTAACCAACTAGCCCCTTGGTTGCATCTTTCTGCTGGACCCATGGCATCCTCATACTGCAATTGTGTTTTTTTTGACACTCATGGTCTTGTGTTTGGCCAACTCTTGTGAAGTCATAAGTGCTTTTATTTATCACCAATTGGTTTAGGTCGATTGCTTTCTATCGATTCTGATAAAACATCTATGTGGTAAACATTACAATGTTGAAATTATATTTCAGTCACTACATAAACTTACTTCAGTTTCGGAGCAGGTTTCGAATGAAAACCTGGATAGAGCATGGAAAAGTCCAAGCTTGAAGCTCATTGAGGCAAACTTCATGCCGATACACTGCCGGGGCCCTTCTCCAAAAGGTAAGAAGCTGAACGGCACAACGCCTTCTTTGTTCTTGCCCAGAAACCTGTGAAAGAAAATGACAGGAATAAACGTTCGTTATCCAAGATAATTGCAGCAACTGGCACTCGTGACAAAGGAAATATGTTTCAGATACCATCAAAAAGTTTTATTGATTACTCTTATATGACCATAATTGCAGGTGTACTGGAAACCTGCAAGGTACAAAAAAGAACAAACTAAAAAGTGGTGGTGGAATAACAGATATAGGCAGAAGAAACTTCCCTATTATTTTACTTTCACGACGATGTCCTTTGTGTTACAATGAGTACGTACTCAGCAGGTCAGTCTAAGAGCATAACTGCATGAATGGGTGTAATTGCTTTCCTGTCACTTCAAAGGAGAATGTATGATATCAGTTGGGCTCGCAAGAGACAACAAACTTAAGATGTTTAGGTAGTGGGCCACACAATTACACAAGAGATCTCCCCTCATGCACCAACCGAGAAGTGCACTAAGATTGAACTGCCTTCAGAAAACAAATTGAAGGAAGGTGCCTGTATGTTAACCGATGCGAAACAGAAAGAGCACAACAAAGTCTGAGTAAATACTGTGTGCTCCAGCAGCCGGAGTGATGTTGCCATTGTTAAGCCTTCTGCTCTGGACTTTTGTGCTGAAAGATTGGTGTGTAGGGTTTAACGTCCCAATACCACCATATGAGTATGAGAGACGCCGTAGGGAACGGCGCCAGAAATTTCAACCACTTGGGGTTCTTTAAGGTGCACCCAAATCTGAGCACATGGAACTACAGCATTTCGCCTCCATCAGAAATGCAGCCGCTGTAGCTGGGATACGAGCACGCGACCTGCGGGTGAGCAGCTGAGTACCTTAGCCACTATACCACCGCGGCGGGGCACACTTTGATCTTAGCCAAAAGGACGAGCCTGATAGTTATATTGGGTTTTATGGTGCAAGAACAGCAGTGACTATGAAGTGCCAGACCCTATGTGTTTTAGAGATAAGATGAAAATGTGATGTGAAGAACAGATTTTTCATTATTTTTTCAAAGACTTACGGCCTGTAGGAACCGAAAAATGTTCTTTATAAAGATGATTGCATTTTGTGATAGTGTTAACTTTGGTTGTAGAGGTCTTTGTTTTCTGAGGTATTTCTTTAAAATAAGCATCTCTTCTTTTTTCGAGGACTGGGCTTGTCATTAATATATGACTGTTAGAAGTTCCTTGCATGTTCGCATTCTTACTTATCTTCTCTGGGCAGTAAAAACTTGTGGGTTAGCTGACTATTACCTGACCGCAAGCAGCTTAATATCACTTTAATAAAGAACTTTGGGTGATAGCTTGACTTCCATTTATGTACAATCGGTTTGACTGTTTTAAGCTGGTTATACACTTGAGCGTACAACTTTTCTTGTCAATTTGCCCTAAAGACTGTTCGGCATTTATGCCGACAACGCATGAATAATAGTACCAGGTTGCACTCTTTTGTAAAACTGTTCTATGTAGTCTGTACTTGGTAGCGTCTCCCATGCGTAACCAACTAGCCCCTTGGTTGCATCTTTCTGCTGGACCCATGGCATCCTCATACTGCAATTGTGTTTTTTTTGACACTCATGGTCTTGTGTTTGGCCAACTCTTGTGAAGTCATAAGTGCTTTTATTTATCACCAATTGGTTTAGGTCGATTGCTTTCTATCGATTCTGATAAAACATCTATGTGGTAAACATTACAATGTTGAAATTATATTTCAGTCACTACATAAACTTACTTCAGTTTCGGAGCAGGTTTCGAATGAAAACCTGGATAGAGCATGGAAAAGTCCAAGCTTGAAGCTCATTGAGGCAAACTTCATGCCGATACACTGCCGGGGCCCTTCTCCAAAAGGTAAGAAGCTGAACGGCACAACGCCTTCTTTGTTCTTGCCCAGAAACCTGTGAAAGAAAAGGACAGGAATAAACGTTCGTTATCCAAGATAATTGCAGCAACTGGCACTCGTGACAAAGGAAATATGTTTCAGATACCATCAAAAAGTTTTATTGATTACTCTTGCATGACCATAATTGCAGGTGTACTGGAAACCTGCAACGTACAAAAAAGAACAAACTAAAAAGTGGTGGTCGAATAGCAGATATAGGCAGAAGAAACTTCCCTATTATTTTACTTTCACGACGATGTCCTTTGTGTTATAATGAGTACGTACTCAGCAGGTTAGTCTAAGAGCATAACTGCATGAATGGGTGTAATTGCTTTCCTGTCACTTCAAGCCGTACTATGAGAGATCACCGGAAGACCAGTGACGCCTACGCCTACCACGAATCTATTCATTGCCTGACGCATCGGGACGATGCGTGTGAGGAGGGGGATTATGCCGCGACGTAGTGACTGCATTCAAATAACGCGCCCATCACCACGCGCACAGAGACATACATGGGCGCCGTCTAGTGTTGCGCAGAGACGATGATGATAGCACGAGAACCCAGCTGGCCCCTGCTGATGTGTGCCACGCGTTTGGGACTCCTCTTGAAGAAGTAGAAGAGGAAGACATCTTGCCGTTCTGCTGTAACGTGCTACGACCATAGTCCCTTTGAGTTGTGGGCACAGGTTCGCCCTTTAATAAATACGTTTTGTTATACCCCGAGTCCTTCAACATCGTTACAATATCACTTGGGCTCGCAAGAGCCAACAAACTTAAGATGTTTAGGTAGTGGGCCACACAATTACACAAGAGATCTCCCCTCATGCACCAACCGAGAAGTGCACTAAGATTGAACTGCCTTCAGAAAACAAATTGAAGGAAGGTGCCTGTATGTTAACCGATGCGAAACAGAAAGAGCACAACAAAGTCTGAGTAAATACTGTGTGCACCAGCAGCCGGATTGATGTTGTCAATGTTAAGCCTTCTGCTCTGGACGTTTGTGCTGAAAGATTGGTGTGTAGGGTTTAACGTCCCAATACCACCATATGATTATGAGAGACGCCGTAGGGAATGGCTCCCGAAATTTCAACCACTTGGTGTTCTTTAAGGTGCACCCAAATCTAAGCACATGGAACTACAGCATTTAGGCTCCATCAGAAAAGCAGCCACTGCAGCTGGGATACGAGCCCGCAACCTGCGGGTGAGCAGCTGAGTACCTTAGCCACTATACCACCGTGGCGGGGCACATTTTGATCTTAGCCAAAAGGACTAGCCTGATAGTTATATTGGATTTTATGGTGCAAGAACAGCGGTGGCTATGAAGTGCCAGACCCTATGTGCTTTAGAGATAAGAAGAAAATGTGATGTGAAGAATAGATTTTTCATTATTTTTTCAAAGACTTGCGGTCTGTAGGAACCGAAAAATGTTCTTTGTAGGGATGATTGCATTTTGTGATAGTGTTAACTTTGGTTGTAGAGGTGTTTGTTTTCTGAGGTATTTCTTTAAAATAAGCATCTCTTGTTTTTTCGAAGACTGGGCTGGTCATTAATATATGACTGTTAGAAGTTCCTTGCATGTTCGCATTCTGGCTGATCTTTTCTGGGCAGTAAAAACTTGTGGGTTAGCTCACTATTTATTACCTGACCGCAAGCAGCTTAATATCACTTTGATTAAGAAGTTTTAGTGAGAGCTTGACTTCCATTTATGTACAATAGTTTTGACTGTTTTAAGCTGGTTATACACTTGAGCGTACAACTCTTCTTGTCAATTTGCCCTAAAGACTGTTCGGCATCTCTGAAGACAATCTCTGAATGGTCCCTTCATTTATGCTATGCTTTCATGACTTGCCCTCATCGCTACATTGCATGCTTTTTTGTTTCCTGAGATACCTATATGGCTCAGTACCCATACAAGATGAATTGGCTTACCATTTTTCTCCGCTCTTTTTAGCATATTTAAAATGTCCCCAACAAACGGTTGGCTTTCCGACCTTCAATGTAGGGCTTTCAATGCGCTGAGAGAGTCAGTGTATAAGACACTTGTTCTGTGGTTTCTAGATGATATTCTTCAAGAGCAATCGAAAGAGCATACACTGCTGCTGTAAAGACAGATACAAATGGCGGCAATCTTATGCATGTTTCTGGGTGTTTTGATATGACGGCACTTCCTGAGGCTGCATTTCCGATAGAGGCGGAAATGTTACAGGCCCGTGTGCTGAGATTTGGGTGCACGTTAAAGAACCCCAGGTGGTCGAAATTTCCGGAGCCCCCTATTACGGCGTCTCGCATATTCATATGGTGGTTTTGGAACGTTAAACCCCACCTATGAATCAATCACTTGTGTCTTTGATCCAACAATGCAGCATTCAGAATGTGTTATTTTTTTCTTGTACGGCTAGCAAATTCGGGAAAATTCGTTCCCGTGGATTTTTAAGGTTCTTAAATGGTTACGGCAATGTCAGTGTAGTGCGAGAAGTCCAACCATGGAGTCAGTCATTCCGGCGTTCAAACAACGCTGAGCGCCTAATTCGCTGCCCTATATTCCAAACCTATTTCTTCAAAGCGCTGAAGAAGTGGTCTTATCGTGTGCGATCTGTTATATTCTGGGACCGATTTTAGGAACAATATCACCACACGTGGTTTGGTTCGATCGGCTTTTAAAAGATAAGATATATTAATTAGCGGTCTTCGTTTTTCCAGGCAACGCTCGTTGCTTTCAGCATACAAACTCTACACAAGTGAAGTGTTATATGCACCAGTCGACATGCGCAATCAAAGATTGTGTATCGGGTTAAGACGTTTGAGGTAAGATTCTCTGGCGGACCCACAAATAACGCTGCTGTAGTAAATTACCCTACGCACAGCTGTGTATGCTTAAAAAAGTAGATTCGATCAGTGCGCCAGCGTTTCCACGATAGTATTTTCAGAATTTTAAATGTCTTGTTTGCGTTATTTGTCTTGATACTTATGTGGTAAATGACGTTGAGTCAACTGTGAAAGAATAAACCTAGGACCTGGTGTTCTGGCTAGAGGGGCAGTACGCTATTGCTTATTTTAGGAACAGGATACGGATACAAGCCACACTTATGCGAAAATAGTGTGATTGCGGTTTTCTGAGTAGAAAAGTGAAAGCTGTTTTGATCCGGCCATTTTGGTCAGTTTGCTGATGGTTAGCTGCAGCTGCCTTTTACATGTGGACATTCTTGAATCCAGACAGGCTGTTTGAAGATTGTCAACGTGTAATGAGTGCATGATAGAGCGTGGGATTTCTCAAATTACTGAATTCATCTTGACTACGAAGAGCGCAGAGCTCAACACGCAACACTACGGCACTACATTGTCTTCGACAAAAACACGCGAAAGTGTGGAGCCCAACCGTACTTGAAAATTTTGGTTTGATAGAAAGTTGGAAATGTAACTAGGCATTCTGCCACGTATTCCTAGATTTGCCAGGTTTCTCAGTATACCATACCTCTACGTGGTGTCGTAGGCCTTTTCCAGGTCAAAAAAAAAAAAAACACTGCTAGGCAGTGTTCCCTTGTAAGAAGGCATCACTCGCTGTGTGTTCGAGGCGAACGAGTTAATCAAGTAATTAGTGATCTTTCCTATACCTACACTGATGATCATCGAGTACAATATCTATTTTAAAGGTGTATGTTCAGATGTTTATTATGCTCTGGTTTGATTTCGCCATGCCGCTTGTAATTGCCATGGGCCTATAGCTACCCGGTGAAGTCGATTTTTTTTTTACAGTTTGGCCCTAAAGTTATCTTTGACCTTGTGGGCATTCTGCCAGTTTTCCAACTCACATTAAAAAACTGTTAATCTTGCACGCTTGACAGCTTGAGCAGGTGCGAGAGCATGCGTTATGAACTCTGTCGGGCCAAACCACTGTTTTTGCCCCCCCCCCCCCCCTCCCGGAAGGAAAATGTTGTACTCTCGGAGTGTTAATGGAGCGTTTTACGGCTTATCCAGGCCACCTGCTACTGGTAGTTTCTGTTTTTCGGCTGTCTGTTTTTATACCAGGAAAGATTGTGTGTATTTAGCTGAAGTTTATATAGTCTAAAAGTCATAATCTATAATGTCCACCTGCTGCTCTAGAGATGCATTTGTGCTTGGGTCGGTAAGTATGCGTATTGCGTGTGGCGAGTAGTAACCGCTGAATTTCATAATCTGGTTCCACGTTTTCTTGAGTGTGGTTGTGCTGTTCATTGAAGATATGTACTTCTGCCAGGATAATTTTTCTCTATCTCTACGGATATATTGTGATTTGACATTAGCTTGGTTGAACGCGAGGAGGTTTTCACGAGTGGGGTAGCTGCGGAAGTTGCACCATGCTGTATATTCTTTTTTTGCCTTTTGCGCATTTGCTGGTCCATCATGGTTTTAGTTTTCATCCAACTAGTCCACAAGACTGGGGAGCAGCTAGCATTGCTATAGAGTGTATGCAGGCAGTAAACTTGTTATATATTGCAATTATTGAAATACGTTCAGAGAACTCATCCTGAACATAACCTTTCGGTTTCAACAAAGGCCACTTAGCTTATCAAAGCTTTTAACGCTGTGGTCGAGCGCGTATTGTCGGAAGTGGGGGTGCTAGTTTTACAACCGACGCTAGATGGTCACTACCGTAATGTTTGTTTATTGTTTCATGTAAAATCCCCAAACAGTGAGCTAGAGCACATAGTCGAATTCAAGTAGTGCATGCTCCCCGTGCCTGGAGAGCACTACGTCAGTGATGCGTTGTTTAAAAGACAAATTGTTGATTAGAATAAAATCTTCAACTACCTGCCTTTTTTTGTTTTACATTACTCCATAGTATGTTGAGCGCATTAAAACCTAGTATTAAGAATGTTTGGGTGACTGTTCCGCAAATAAGTCTAAATATTTTACGGTAAAATGTACATGTGGTGGAATTTATATGGAGCAAATAGTGAAAGTTTTATGTGATAAAATGGTGACTGCAGCTGTTTCAATGAAGCCGTTAATGATAAAATTTCTTGCCCCTATACCACA